GAGAGAGAGAGAGAGAAATATCAATGATGAGAGAGTCATTGATCAAGCCCACAACTGGGCATGTGCCCTGACCGGGAATCGAGCCCCGATCGCCTGTATCCTAGGTCGATGCTCAACCGCTGAGCCACGCCCGGCCTGGCGACAGTTTATTTTTCTAAAATAAGAACATCTGCAGGTGGGCAGTTGCTGGCAATGGCTCAGCGACTCAGCATTGTCATGACAACATAGGGGTAGTTCGTTTTTCTATGATTCTCTTAAGTTTTACTCATGGTCAAAAATGTTCTACTTAATGTCTACATTTGAGGCAGAAAGAGGGGAGGTATAAGCTGCAGCTGTTCCCTTTTCTTAGGAAAGCAGAGACTTCTCCCTTCACTCTCATTAGTTAGAGCTGAGTCTCTTGGCCACCCCTCCCTGCAAAGGAGACTGAGAAAGTGGTGAGCTTATAGAAATCACTTATTCGCTGGGGCTACTATATACACGGCTGCCCCCCAGCCCCTTGAGTTGGACTTCATTTAGCAAGGAACAAGGTGGGATTAGATATTAAGGAGGCAATACTGGTTCCTGACACCCTAAGTAAGGACCCTAAGTAAATACCCTAAGTAAGTACGATTAACATTTGATAAGGATTTTGTAGATTGTAAACGTTCAAGATCAGCAGCATATATACTAAGCTCATAGATCACATGTATTAAGCTCAAAACTGAGAATAAAAGTATAGAGCAAGCTTTAGTGATATTTTTGGCCATCCTTGTACTACTTACTTTCTGAAAAATGTTAAAAACAAAATCTTACATTTTGCTATGTTAAGATGTAAGAACACAAATGATATAAAGATGTTACCTTTAACTTTGAATTCTCATAGCTTGCAACATTGTTTTGTATTAGTTTAATAGTAACTGCTGTAAGAATTCAGCCCTAACTTAATCTCATTGCTTAAGATATTATGACTGCCTTGGAAAGATGTTTTTCAAAGGTTTTATCAGAATTTCTCACATTTTGATATGTCGCTATGTGACCACTGTTCTTTTTCTGTTTCTGTTAATAAGAGTGCTTGACTGTCCCCCTCGAAACCCATAAAAACTGAGGAATAATAACCTGTGCAAATGAAAGTATCAGTGTTGCTAATATTATTACCCTTAGAAAATGGTTACTGTGCACAAAGTTATGAGTTAAAAATTTTAATTTTTCCACCTATAGTGACCTGTACTTAATATGCTGCCTCTATTTTTAGCCAAAAAGGCTTCTGGAATGTTGTCCTTCTTCCGAGGGACAGCAGGGAAAAGCCCCGATCTATCTTCCCAGAAGAGAGAGACCTTGCGTGGAGCGGATAGCGCTTATTACCAGGTTGGGCAGGCGGGCAAGGAGGGGACGGAGAATCAAGGCATCGAGCCTTCAGGTGTGTTAAAGGGGGATGAAACCTGCTTACTCTAGGCTTTGATTTACTTAGTTTAGTTTCTTAGAGCCAAACAGATGTGACAACCCCTGCATTAGATCATGAATTAGTAGTTTATTTAAAAAACAGCAACTGCATGATAAATTTTCATTAGTATTTACGATCTCTGTTTAGTATTCTATAGGCTGATATTGGGCTGTGATCTTTGGAAGGTATTGGTGCTTTGAAAAAATAATTTTGAAATATGAAACTTAGAGGTTCTAAAGGTTAAAAAGTATTCCCAATCTACAGTAATTAGAGTGGATCTGGCAGCAGGTTTGCCAGACAGATCAGTCAGATATAAAGCAAAACTAGCTCTGACTTAGACACTAGTATACTTTATGTTTTATATAAATATTTTAGTATATGATAAAGAAAGCATCACAAACGTTGGCGAAGCATTCTCCTCTCTGGGGACACTGGTCATAAACTCTGCAGTCACGGGAAATCTTGATGTAAGAGTTGAGTTAGTATATTGCTCACATAGGAATCACTTCAGTAGAAGAAACATTATTCAACCTAAATGCTCTTATTTTTTAATTTAAAAATTGATTTTTCAAAAGGTCCACACATTTTTATTGTAATAGTTTACAATAACAGTTGTATGCACAGTGCTTGCTTGGAGTGACTTGACCAGGATAAAGAGGGGACTTGGCAGTTTTTATTGTTGTGTCAGGGAAAGAACAGGCAAATGGAGTGATAACCGTTTAAAACTTTGGCTTGACTAATGATGTTAAACCTTTTAGATGAAGTAGATGGAGGAGACACACAAAAGAAACAGCTCACGAATCCTCATGTGGAGCTTCGTAAGTCTGAGATAAAATATTGGTGGTTTGGGGACAGCGACTCTATTATTTGAGGCTTCTGGTTACATGCTAAATAAATAGACTATTTCTTGAAATGAATATTAAGTCTGTGTGCTGATGTAGTTTTATTTAATCTAGATTTAGTTCATAAAATGTACATTATAAAGAAAGTTAATTTGTACATTTAACTGAAATGATAATTTAACTCATAAATGACAATTTGATTTAATTTCTAATGTATTAATAATTCCTGTGTAATCTAGAGCCACAGAGTCTTGACAAGGTGTCTAGAATTCTGTGTATATGGATGCTAAAAATGTATCATCCAGAATATTATATACAGTAAAATTTAAGACATAAAAGCACAATGATGGAAAGACAGTAACCAGTATAAAACAAGAAATGGGTCTTAGGTTTGAATTTTCTGTGACCACGTAAGGATGGTCATCAGGTGCTTTACAATCCTCCCTAAAGATCACTTTAACAAATGATGATAAATGGATATAGTAGACTTAACAGGAAAAGTGCTGCCTAGAAGAAAATTAAATGGCTGCCGCTGGTGGGGGTGTGGAATTGGGCAAGAGGGAAAAGAGATTTTTGATTCATGAAAGTGTTTTTTTAACACTTCTGTTTATAGAATTTTCTGATGCTAATGCCAAGTTTTATTGTCGGCTCTATTACGCGGGAGAGTTTCATAAGATGCGGGAAGTGATTCTGGGCAGCAGCGAAGATGATTTCATTCGATCCCTTTCACACTCGTCGCCCTGGCAGGCCCGGGGAGGCAAATCCGGGGCTGCCTTCTATGCAACTGAAGGTGAGTCTTCCAGAGGCTCACTGATGACATACTGTCCACCTTCCCCTCAGGTAATTCCTGAGGGACTTGAAGAGAGCTAGTAGGATACTGTCAATTGGCAAACAGGAGTTTCCTCTTTTTATGTTTATACTTTATGCTGTGTCATAAAATATTTAAAAGAATATACGTATATAGGATGTGTAATTAGAGACAAACATCTATCAAATTCTTACTAAATTCTCTCTAGTCCTGAGTTTTCCAAGTGTAAATAACAGCAGATAGAAATAGAAACATTTAACCCGAAGGTAGGAAGGCAGGTTCCTCGCTCACCAAGGTTTCCAGAAGATCGTGACCGTTTGCACTTCATGTTCCATTCTCCAACCCACTGAGAGCAAAATCATCGGAGGTAACTCAGTCGGATTGCTTGATAAGAACTATCATAACGATTATGTATTGGATTGCTAACAAAGGAAAACATTTATACAGTTTTAATAAAAAGTAGATCAGCTATGAATTTAGGGGTGGTACTTTCAAAAGTAGAGGTTTCTTGACTGTATAAATCCTCAGAAACCCTTCCCACCCTTCCAGTTACTTGAGAACTGTGTTCTGATGAGGATTTTCTCTGTGACATCAGAAAATATCCCTTAAAAACATGAAGCAAATAAGTCATTTGGGGTCTTTGGGGTTTATTGTAGATAACCTGAGTAAATAATTGTGATTGACTAAATACATGCAATTTCTGCCTTTTAGATGATAGATTCATTCTGAAGCAAATGCCTCGCCTGGAAGTCCAGTCTTTCCTCGACTTTGCACCACACTACTTCAATTATATTACAAATGCTGTTCAACAAAAGGTAGACATCTCAGAATTAGATGGCCTCGAATTAGAGTTTACTGGGCTTTTGACGTCCTCAGAGTTAATCCTGAGAGTTTTCTCTGTGGTAAGATGTGGACAGGACATGACTGGATCTCTGTTATGCTACAGAGAAGTGATAGAATGCAGGAATTTCAAACTCCTCCTACTTTTGCCAGCGAGGAGCCAAGCGATCTCAAGCAAGTTGCATTTAATTAGCATATATGTCAGTTAAAAACATTATGCCTGGATGAGGAAAGCTGAACATTTAGGTATTGTTAATTTTGTTGAGACAGAAATTGGAAGCATGTTAAGAATTGAGGGCATGGATCCCTTAGGCAGAAAGAGAGCAGCCAGTGCCCAGGTTGGTCCATTTGTTGCTGAGCAGTGAGGACCTTCCCAGAAAAGTATGAGGGAGTCACGTGGATTTTTTTTCATTATGGTTTATTGCATGCTACTGGGGAAATTCTGTGTCATAATAAAATGTGAATTTGAGTGGTTGTGGAGGATCTAATATTTTTACTGGCATTGCTGCTTTACTTGCTCCTGACATTCAGGGGCTTGAGTTTCTTTCAGGGACCTCTGTTCATATGAATAGAAAATCATGTTTGGGTATTACATGAATAATCCAGATATTGGTATTAAATTACAAATAATCCTTTTTGATAAGAGTTTCCTCTCATTTTTTTCTTGATTAGAGGCCTACTGCATTGGCCAAAATTCTTGGAGTTTACAGAATTGGTTATAAGAATTCTCAGAACAACACTGAGAAGAAGTTAGATCTCCTTGTCATGGAAAATCTTTTCTATGGGAGAAAGATGGCACAGGTAAGGATGTTGGACTATGCAAAGCATTTAGCTGCTGGAACCCTTTGCACTTCTGGTTCCTGAATGTAGTGAATCAGAGAATAGCATCTTCTTTGGTAGTACATGTTAAACTTTGGTTGCTGGGCCAAATTGAACTTTGGGCTTGTTGAACCCTATAGGGAAGAATAAATAGGAATATTGTAGACTGATCCTAAAATTTAACATCTCCAGTATTCTAGAAACAGAATTACAGAAGTGGAAGGCAGATCTACTTCTACCATCTCAGTTTTCAACATGCAGAAACTGAGGCCCATAGAAATTAAGTGCTTTATGGCAGACACACAGATATTTCTAGAACTCAGATTGGTCTACACTCCAGAACAGTACTCTTCAAAGTGCTAGTCCTTGAACTGTTTCCAGTGTGTGGCAAGGTAAGGAGCTTGTACCAGTATGTAATTCCATGCACTGCTTTCTACGTTGAGAATGTCTTGCTATGAGAAAAACAGCTGCTGAACTAAGCAGCGTGCTTCCTGGTGTAATTGATTTACATTCTGGTGCAAGTTCCTTATGTCATCACGAGCCAGGAACAACCGACCAGCAGTGGTCTGTCCAGTACACTTCAGGTCTCTCTGCTCTGGTCGTCCACTCACCTTTGCCGCCACCCAAAAATTTCTCAAGATAGGCTGTTGCTTCTCCGTTGCCATAGTAATCATGCAGAGTTTTGGTATCAAAACATTAAGTTTCCTAAGACTATTTGCATCTGGTTTTTAAACTGCATTTCAGTCCAGTGATGTGTTTTTGGAGTTACTTGTCAATGTTTCTTAAAGTGGATTAAATGAGTCAGTTATTTCTGAAATGTTTCAGTAACTGAGTACTTGTTATTAACTTCATATGATAAAATTATATCACATGTATTTTATGTATTATACAGTTATAATGCATGCATTTAATGACATGTTATATGTTAAGTATTTAAATAAAATTTAAACTATATATTTAATGGTAGTAGCTATAGGGAACCTGTCTGCCTTTTTAATTAAATGGCATTAATCATTTGCAGCAACTCATATATTACCAAATTTTCTTTCTGCCAGGTATTTGATTTGAAGGGTTCACTTAGAAATAGAAATGTAAAAACTGATACTGGGAAGGAGAGCTGTGATGTAGTCCTGCTGGATGAGAATCTTTTAAAGATGGTTCGAGACAACCCTCTGTATATCCGCTCTCATTCCAAAGCTGTGCTGAGAGCCTCGATCCGCAGCGACTCCCACTTCCTTTCTAGCCACCTCATTATAGATTATTCTTTGCTGGTTGGGCGAGATGACACCAGCAATGAGCTGGTTGTTGGAATCATAGGTAAGTCAATGAGCATACCTTACTTATAGTTCATGAGCGAAATCCGTCAGATTTGACGATTATACTGAACCTGGTCTATAGCTTATTGAATATTTTCATTTAAAAATTTTAAAATAATAGTTTTAAATTCTGTTATATAAATAGTACTTTCTGTTCATTTTCCTCATTTACGTTTTCATTATCTTTACCAAAAATACCTATATTCGAAAAGGCACTTAGAAATGAAGCCCTGGGATTTGGGGCTGTTGTGAGGACAGAATGAATAAAATGGGGAAGAACCCTTAGAGCACCTGGCATATTGTCAGCACTCAGTAAATGCTAACTATTATAGAAGTAATACAATTAATATTGTCCTTTGCTTATATTCATTGACATAACTTTATTGCTGATTTTGTTCCCTGCAACAGATTATATTCGAACATTTACATGGGACAAAAAGCTTGAGATGGTTGTGAAATCCACAGGAATTTTAGGAGGACAAGGTAAGCAGATTTTTTGTTTTGTTTGCTCTTTAAACTATACTCATGTTTTCCTTATCAGTTAATATTTTAAAAATTGGATACTTTTTTTATTCCAAAAATATTAGTGATTATCTCTGATTTTATTGTACTTTCCAAAATGGTCAAATAATAGGAGTTGTGTAGGTGGGGAAATACGGGGTTTAAATTTGTGTTAAAATGCGAGAGGTACTCAAAATGAAAAGTTAAAAAAAAAAGGCCAGAGCTTCTGGATAAGAGGTGGTCTTTAATTAACACTTGAAATCTTCTAAGTTCTCTGAGCACTGCTGGCCCCTTTGTGCTTTATACATCTCTCTAGGTAAGTGCTAGTCTTTTAAAATAAAACTCCTACCAGGAGGGCCCCGTCCCATGTTGTGGCTCAGTGAACAGCACCCCTTCCCCTTTCTGAGACGCCTGGGGGTGCAGAATGTGACTTTATGGCAGTTTACATGCAAGAGCGTAGGTGAAGTCAGCTGCCTGATCACTTACGTGATAGTTTTCTTTTCCCTTTCCTCTTTTGTAATTTTAGGTAAAATGCCCACTGTGGTCTCTCCAGAGCTGTACAGGACTCGATTTTGTGAAGCGATGGACAAGTATTTCCTGATGGTACCGGACCACTGGACAGGTTTAGGTCTGAACTGCTGAAATGAAGCACTTACCGTGAAATGGACCGTGAAGGAAAGGGGGCTGGAGCAAAGGACCAAAAATAAGCTGCATTTTACTTGTTTGTCACATTCACCACTGTTTGCCAAGGCCTTTCAGTTCTGCGTTTCATAGGCCCTCTCACACTGAAGGGTTAAAATTCCGTAGATGTGCACTGTGGTTTTTGATACCTACAGATTGGCTATGCCTGGGCTGGAAAGTTGCATGGACATTTTTTCACTTAAGCAGAAATATAGACCCATTTCAAAGGGCTAAGGACAGATGTATGATTAGAGATGAGATTGGGTGAAAAACGGGTTGATGTGTTTGCTAACCATCCTGCTAAGAAAACAGTGCTCCTAGGTTGTGACTCTTGGCGTTGCATGTGACACATTCTTCACTTAAAAAGCATTTGTAGATTTGATGAGCTTTTTTGGTTTGTTTCTCATGTAACAGTTTAATGTTGCCTATTATCACAGTTTCTGAAACCTTTAAAAATTCTGAATTATTCTATGAATAGCCAGTTAAACAGATGGACAGAATCTGTTCTTGTTTTACAGAGGAATTTGACTTAAATTGGGAATCCTGCCATGTCCTATATCTCACCCTGCTTTCCAGTATGTTTGATGTTTGTCAGGTTCTGTCTTTACTTCTCTGTGGAAGGCAGGAAGCCACCACCATTAACTTTAAGCCTTTTTGTCTGGAGCTATTTTTTAAGCTTGTTTACAACTTTTGTGCAGTTATTATGTAAAACAGCACTTATCTGCACATGCTCTTATTCTAAGTTTTTTCTCTTTCAAGGGCAACATTAGTCAATGAGTCTACAATGACTAAATCCCCAAAGGGCGAGTGGTTAATGAAGGATTTTTTAAATGTAAAGTATATTTCAGGCCCAATCCAAGAAATTGGGTGAAAGGGAAGCACTTGATCGCGTTTTGTAGAGGTAGTGTCTTTTTCAATATAACCAGCAATTTAAGTGACATATATATATATGAAATTTCTAGATCTGATATTCTTGTTTCCTAACTTTCTATACCAGTTTCTAGGCCAGTCCTGACTATCAAGAAATGTTAAAAGATAAAATGTTCTTAGTAAGGAATTTCTTGTTTAATAGAGAGGTTGTTTAAAAAGCGATCAGAAGTATGAAACATAATAATAATGTAACCTTGAATATTTCCTTTTGGCTTCTTTGCATAACAAGGATAGTTTGGGGATTTTTTAAACTGTAAGAGTTCTACTCTTTTCAGGCTTCCAAGGATAGCACATTTCTATTGTAACTTTCACATAAGGAGGAGAAGTCTGGATACATTTCACTTACAGAGGCTATAATACATGAAATGGGAACATTTTGGAAAGTTGTCTTTAGGGAATGAAAGCATTAGTTTGGTGTATGGTGCTTATTGGAAACGTGATTTGTTTTGAACTAGAAACAGGTAAGTTGACCAAGGACTTATGACTGATCTGATGATAAGCATTTTAAAAAACAACATGTGGTGTACCTTTTGATACAAAACACTGGTGATTTTAGTTTCAGCATCATACAGCAGTAAGGAGTTGTACAGCAGTGACACATAGAGGAGCATCAGCTTGTGTGTCCAGGAGCAGTGGGTTTTGCATCTGATTTTGAATGCAAATACTGTTTTGACCATTTCTTCTGTGAAGATACTCTGGGTTATTCATCCTGTCCATGTCCTGCACCCCGGTCATGAACGCTTCCTGTAGAAGGTGTCTCCCCCCAGCTGTAACCAGGGTGTGTCTTTGTTTTAGCCTCAGCGCCATCTGTGTACCTTGGATCCTCTGCTGGAGTAGCTCCGGACAGTAATTAAGTATCTTGCTGATTTTGTTTTTCTTGTCCATGACATTAAGAACTATTTTTTTAAAGTACTGCTGCCTCTTAGATAATTTTGTGGCTAAAAAAAGTTCCAATATAATATAACCTGAAGTAATACTTGCTGTCCTTTTAAAGCTGTCTTAAAGAAGGGAAAATATAAAATTTAATTTGCTGTGAGTGGTAGGACTATATCCCTGGCCCCTTGCTGCTCCTGTGTAGGCCGCCCACATATATAAGGCGTTTCAGATGTTGTGCTACTCAGTGTTAAGCACTGGGTGACTTCACCTCTCCTGAATTCCCTTTCAAGTCCCGGAGAATATTAACAAAACAGTGGTGATTTTAGTTTCAGTATCATACAGTAGTAAAGGAGTTGTACAGCAGTGACACATAGAGGAACATCAGCTTGCGTGTCCAGGAGCAATGGGTTAAGAATGGGTTAAGAATGAAAAGTTAAGAATATGGAAGAAATCTTAATACTTTAGTCCTTCGAATAAACTATGAATCCTGAAAATAATTGACAGTAGCACAAGAAAACTATATAACATGTTGCATTGTATAAAAAATCTTATTTATAAATTTGAAGCTTTTTGATGCCATCAAAACTTTGTTAAAAATAAAAAGGATTAACCTTTATCTTAACCCAAGCCTAAGAAAACTAAGGGGAATAAGCCGTTGTAAGCCCTTTTATAGTCTATAGAATATTTTAGATTTACAGATATTCAAAACTTCCTATAAAATGTCCTGCTTATAATTTTTCCCTGATCCAGCAGTAAGTGGTTTTCTAGCTTTGGCTTTTTTGGGTAGTGTAAATAGTAGGGTTGTATTGGTTTTTGTGGCATCAGTTTCTCCTTGGCATTTTACCCATTAGTACTGGGCTTGTATAAAACTGCCAAGGAAAGGAATCTATCTGTAGAAAGTCTCCTTAGCTACCAGAGTGGAAACTGTTGTGAATGAGCCTGTCGGTGAAACAGATCAGGCCATTCATTACTCCTCAAGTGTTAACATACTGACTTATGCAGTATTCAAAGCATCTAGTGCAATGCCTTTTTTTGTTTGTTTTTATAACGTGGGTGCAGTGTATTATAGAAAAATTAAAATTATAATCATGAGCATTTTTATTAATGCTTCTGTGCTGGTTTTGTAAAAAATGTACATTCTGTCTTTGACAGGTTTAATTTTAACTAGAGAAATGATATTGTAAATCATAATAGCCTCTTAACTTAGTATGAAAATTCAGTTAACAGTATTGAAAATACCTGATGTATTATATTGTATATATTTCTCTACTTTGGTTCCAGCTGTTTTATATGATTGATGTGTTATTTAAGAAATGAAACTGCCTTGGCCTTTTAAAGACTTATACTGTAAATAAAGAAGACTTACAAATAACTGAGAATCATCTTCACTTAGTTTTGAATCTCTTTGAGGGAATTAACAAGGGGAGCTGGAGTTTGGTGTGCAAGCCCAGCCCCTGGCCCTCTGTTCATTCTCTCCCCTTTTGTTTTCTGAGAATTTAAATCTCTCACGAATAAATAGCCCTTCTCCTTACATCCCAGAAAGTGGGTCTTGAATGTGTGGGTTGCTTCCATCAGTAAGAAGCTGCCCAGCCTTTTCTGCCCAGAATGCTGAGCTCGCTTTAGTTTCTTCCGAGTGTTCAGAGTTTACCTAAAGTGGATCCAACTATGGTACAACCTGCAGCTGTACCCCTGCAACCTCCTCCCCTC